GCAAAATAACTTACGAAACAAGGAACCTTGCTCACTTAACATGATTCTATGATCTAGACTTGTGCTATTACTTATTCACAAACATTCCTTACAACCCTCAAACAAATTAGCTATGAAACATGAGATGAGATTGAGGAACAGGAAGCAAGTAGAACAGAAGCATTCAGCATGGAAATCTTGAGCAGGATTATATAGCATTTTTAGAACGCAGTCCTAATAACAGAATGCAGGTCCCCCCCAACCACCGAGCAGATTTGAATTGAATTGTCTTTGAAGACGACAAAATTCAATGTTTAAGTACTTAATCTTAAACATTCAGTGTATCCTTTGCACATTGGCTCAGAAATAAGAGCACAACAGCAGTCCAAGTAGAAGTGAATAGGAAAAGAAATTGTTCAGTTCTTTCTTCACTGTCCCAACATCTTTTTCAATGTATTGCCATTGCAAAGGAACTATTCAAATCAAGTTCTTAAATTTCCTAAACTGTCTTTCTGATCTAAATACTTATTACAGTATTTTTCTGCATTAGTGCAAATTATAAAAGACCCAAGTGGCTTTTTGAACTGATTCTCAAAATGTCAATTGCCAAATGTTTGGGGAAAAAATTACCAGAAAAGCAGCATGAAAGTTAATCTCTCGTTCTCTTTTCAGCCCTTGCACTCATACTAGCCAAGAAAATAATGACATATTCATGTATCTCCGACATGTTAAGTTCTGTACAGATTGTCTGTGTTTGGGAGTACACTTCCTGATTTTTTTTTCTTCAGAAAAAGAGGCACCTTACAATGAACATTCCCTTTTAAGTCTGATCCAAATTCTTTCTAGTTACTACTCTCTTGTGCCTGATCACTATAGGCATCTTATTAAAGTTTTCTAGTAATGTTTTGCATAGAGCAGGGGTCCCCAACTCCCAGTCCATGGCCTAACACCAGGCCCGGGCATGTCAGCAACTGGGCCATGCAAACAAGCAAAGCCCCATTTGTGGAATGCAGGCAGCAGACACAACCACGCCCCTTCTGGTTTGCGGGAAAAACCCTTCTCCACAGAACTAATCCCTGGTGCCCAAAAGGTTGGGGACCATTGGCGTTGTTTCCACTAATCCATAGCTATTACCGGTAGCTATCACAACTAAACTATTACAGGTAGTCCTTGGCTTACAAGAGTTCATTTAGTGACCATTTGAAGTTACAACCACACTAAAAAAAAGTGACTTATGACCATTTTACGACCATTGCACCATCCTCATAATTTACATTTGGATGCTTGACAATGGTTCATATTTATGATATGCAGTGTCTTGGGGTTCACATGATCATTTTTTGCACCTTCTGACCAGCAAATATTCAATGGGGAAGACAGATTCACTTAACAACCATGTCACTGATTTAACAATTGCAGTGATTCATTTAACAAATGTTGCAATGAAAGTTATAAAATGGGGCAAAACTCACTTAACAAATTTCTCATTTAGCAACATAAATTCTTGGTTGTAAGTCAAGTAATATATACTCGATGAATTAGTACAACTGAAGATATGCAGCATTATGATGTGGGGAATGCAAAATTAAAAATATGACTCTGAGATCGAAAGTGCACAGACAAATTTTCTGTACACATACAGAAAATATGCAGTGATCTTTTTTCCTGGGGCAATATGGAACAAAAGCTGAGAAATTATAATGAGAAGAACAACAAATGCAGTCAACACCCTTTTTTATCACGAACTTCAAATAGCTTTGCCAAATATTGAAAAATAATTGTTAGGGTATTAAAGTTTTCATGGTATTACCAACAATAATGCAAATAAATCAGAAATAGTTTTTTTTTTAAATTCCTGCTATTTCACATACAAAAGCATACACATCCTTAAAGGATATGATTCAAAAATAGTAAAAAAAAGTAACATGCAATTCAGATTCAATCCTATCTTGAGTTAGCTTGAACGAGCATGCCTCATTACTAAAAGCTACACCTGATTTGCATATACTCTGTAAAAGTGCAGTCTAATACCCGTGTTTCCCCCAAAATAAGACCCTGTCTTATATTTTTTTGAAGCCTGAAATAAGTGCTTGGCCTTATTGCCATGTGCTCAAAAGCCTGATTGGGCTTATTATCATGGGATGTCTTATTTTGGGGGAAACAGGGTATTTACATCTCTTCTTTGAAGCAAATTGGTATTTGATGATTTCATAGATACACCATTTAGTTTTCTTGACAATTTATAAGTAGTTTGTCCATTCTTTCCCCCTCCCTTTTTTTTTTTTTTTTACTTCCCAATTTAGACTACAGCCTTCGGATTTTCTGGTGGTTTCCCAGCCAAGCAGTAGCCTAGTGGGCTAGGAGACTATTTAGCTTTCTATCATCAATCAAAACTGGCTACAAATTAAAATGCAACTGGGTCTTTACATGTAAACAAGTTCTGTTAAAATGTAGTCTTACATTTGCAAAAAAGTACTGGACTGGACTCGAGCTAAAGTAAAAACTGAAATATTTTTTGGCAGAGGCACATTTGTAGCCACGAAGTTATAAACAGTACTGAGACAGTAGAAGAAAGATTATAAAAGCTTAAGTAAAGTAAAGCTGCTTTTTTTTTCTTTACCAGTTTCATCATTCTTCCCCAAAATATTGTCCATATTAGATAAATGACACTAAATAGTGTAACCTAATTTAATTTAATTTAATTTAATTTCGAATTTATATACCGCCCTTCTCCCTGAGGACTCAGGGCGGTGTACAGCCAAGATAAAAAACATAGAATACAAATATTAAAACATTTAAAAATATATATAAAATTTGGCCCAAAAAATTAAAAATCACAGACTAATTAAAAGGATTTAAAACCTAATAGTATAGATATCTGAAATCTGTAAAAATTACCAGATTCAAGCATTATGCAATTTTAATACTTCATTGTTTTCATATTTGAAAACTTTATTTCCTTCCTAATCAACTAGAAATGGGATTGCAACTCCTCATATCTTCCAATATGTTCTTGACCACAGAAAGTGCACAGAAAGCATTCAGTAATACATATGGAGAAAGAAAAATACATGCCATTTTTTAAGTGGCTAAAGTCAGTGACGATTTACAATATGTAGTTATTTTGTTGAATCAGCAAATTTCCAAATATAAGCCTCAACATAAGGAAATTTATTTTACAGTATTTAATTTTGTCATGCTACTATATAGTTTTCCTCCAATTAAATCCTCCGCCATTATAGAAGAAAAATCTAGTCAAGATCTGCTGAAAGAAAAAAACTTATAAGTAAACATATTACGTGCTCCACCTTTAGAGCGCTCCATGGCTTAGGACCTGGTTATTTACGGGACCGCCCACTACCACAAACAGCCTTCGACCGGCTGGTACGCTCTCACAGAGGGGCTCCTCCGGGTGCCGTCAGCCAAACAATGTCGACTGGCGGCCCCCAGGGGGAGGGCCTTCTCTGTGGGGGCACCCACTATCTGGAATGAGCTCCCCCCAGAGATACGGAGGATCCCGGATCTGCGCACTTTCTGCCATGCTCTTAAGACCCTCCTATTCCGGCAAGCCGGCCTGGCCTAATTTTCTCCCCCGTTTTAAAATTCTTTTAAATCGAAATTTTAATCTGTTTTAAATTATTGGGATTTTTAATTGTCTCGGGCTAAATTATTTAATCTGGTTTTAATTATGTCTCTAACTTTTGTATCTATGTATTTTATTTTGTGCCTGTTCACCGCCCTGAGTCCTTCAGGAGTAGGGCAGTATATAAATTTAATTTTTTTTTAAAAAAAGTGAATGCAAAATATACTAGCACATTTGTATAATTTTTAAAATAAGTACTGAAAAGCTAAATACAAGACCCCTTGCCCTAGAATATAGTCTATAATGACTATTACTATTAAAATTTAACACTGACAAAAAGCAAATTTTATTCATTGTATTCCCAGCAACTTTTTTCTAGTGACATTTCATAATTCATTCTATTTGTAACTGATCAGTTATTTTTATAGAAGAGTTTCAACTCAACTGTAGCCACAACCAAGTCACACATGATAAGTGATGGTTCTAAAAATAAACAAAGTCGTTAGATAATCATCATAGCACAAAAGTGCACACCTGCATTAACAATACACAATGAAATAATTCAAAGAAACTTTTTTCCTTTTCCGAGTAAGACAAGGAAGAGTGATAGAATTAGAAACCCAATCTAATACTTAAAAGATGAAAGTTCCCATACAATTGCAAATTTATCTTTTGATACCTTGCTAAAAACATTTCAGAAAATAATAACATGGAAATTGTAGAAATACATAGTAGTTTCATTATATAGAACTGAGGTTTACATAGACTCCAGATTAGGCAAATTATCTACATATCTATTTTGGAAATCTATTTCAGTGCTTGCAATTCAAATATTAGTTTGTTGCAATGTACTCAGAACTGTAACTGAAAGTCTTGATTTGAAAAAAAGTCTCAGGAAGCTTAGAATGAAATGTTATTTATTCAGTTTTAACTAAAGAGCATATTTGGAATTAAAGAAAATAAGAGGATAATTGTTCATATACTTAAGTTCGTTTCAGCATCTTGTATATCAGTACCCTTTAAAGCTCATTGTTAAAAAGACAGTAAACAGTAAGAGTTATTTTTCCCCCATCCATTTTGTAATACTTAGGTCCTCCCCCAAGAAAAAGACATAGATTTACTGCCATCAATTTTGTTCTTTTTCTAAAATTAGACAGAATGAATTCAAAAAGCAATGTTTTTGCTTTGTTTGTACCAAATTTTGTGAACTGTTCTGGTACCTATTAAGAATTTCATTCACTCCTTATGGCAAGTACCATTATACCTCTACATTCCACACTATGTAAACACTGGCTAGACTTTAGCGGGCTTCACACACACTACTCATCACCCGGATGGATACATTACTTCCATTTATTGTCTCGTATTACCTTAATGTTAGTAAGATGACAGCAGCTCATTTAGCAAATTTCTGCAAGCACTTTAAGCTGCATTTAAGATGTTTGCATTATCCATAAAACCTCTAAGGGATGCATTGGACGAATGGGATCCTAGAATACTTCAGAACAATACAGTAACACAAAACAATTCCAGTATAAAGAAAAACTGACAAATCATCCGGCACCTTTATAAGGGGAAATGAATTATTTAAATACTGAGAGGCACACGTGCAAGGAAGGAAATTGCGGAGCCTGTAACTTAAACCGCTTGCAAACCCACAAGGCTCGTGCGCTGACGAAGCCCACACACAACCGAAGCTTTTTGAAACGAGCATTCATTCGTTCACCCCATCAATCCTCCTTCCTCCGCCTCCAACATGTACTGGATTGAAAAACAAGACGACGGATCCGATCTTCCCCACAATGATCACGATTAGGATCATTATTAGTTACCGAATGGCCCAAACCCAAACACCCAGCCGTTAAAAAGCATCTCACGATCATCCTTAAAGGAATGAGTCCAACGGGCCCCTCGTGGCGCGATGGCCGCCCATCCCGGGCCTGCTGACTTTATTAGTAAATCGCCGGGAGATCGGCAATTTATTTATTTATTTAAACGGCGGCAAGTGGGGGGGCGACACGCGCCTCCCACGGCCCTTGCCGGCATCCCTTTATTTCTCCACCCTCCATCCTCCTCCATCTCCCTTCATTGTTCTACTCTCCGGAGAGCCAAAAAGGGGCTCCTGTGTCTCTCGTGGGCGAAATCCCCACCGCCTTTGGGGCTTCCTTCTGGTCTTCTGCCGCCACGTGGAACTGGCTCCAGGGAAACTACTAGGAGAATCTCTCCCTGTAGACCGGTGGGTCGGTCAGTCCGTCCGCCCGCCGGCTTGGCCGGCTAAACCAGCCCAGCCAAGCCAAGCCATACCTGTTGCACGCAGCCACCCAGACACGCGGCGCTTCTCTCCCCCCCGAGGCGCTCACCAGCCCTGGACTCTCAGGCGCTCCCGCCCCCTCACGCTCTATAACGGGCCGAAGAGGGCGGAGCTGAGCCGTAAAAGGGCGGGCTTCGTTGGTCCCGGAGACTGAAAGAGTGAAAGGGTGACGGGAGCAGTCGCTTCTCCTTGCCCCCCTTTCCGCAGTGGGTTCAGCTCCCATTGGAGAGAGGCGCCTCGGAGGAGACGCGGGAAACGAGCTTTTCAAGAGGCCTCAAGGAGGGCGACGCTGCTTTCCGCACGTAGCTGTTGGGGGCGAGAGAATTTGGAGAGCCTTTGGTCAGAAGCAGAGAGCCAAGCTGCCTAAAAAGAGAAGGGGGGGGCTCCCTACTTTGTTTCCCCATGTCACTCTCGGCAGCACCCAAAGGCAAATATCCTTCCAAATTACTTTGCCCAGGACCCGTGCTTCATTAAACGCTGACCTCCGACTCAACGCTTACACAGCGTTTTATGGTTTTCTCAGAATCACCTTTAGCACTCAAAAACAGGTCCCGGGGAATATCCTGACTCAGAATAAACTGCCACTCCTTGACCTTTACAACTTGGCAAAGAGTTTCCTTCAAACTAAGGTGCATTACTCTTTGCTGCTGCAAAAAGATAAGGCATTGAGGAAATTTCAACTCTTGGTTTTATTTGCAGAGATTGGGGCCTGCCTGCGTACAAAATCCACGGTTCTTCTTAAGGAAACAGGAACAACAATCCCAAATTTTATTTCTGTGGACCAAAATTTACGGAGCAGAGTGGTCTTTGCCTCTATAGTAGTAAGCATGTTTATGGCTGTTCTGTTAGCACTGAGGATAACCATATAGGTGTGAGATTTGATGTTTTTAATTGTGCATTCTGTCCTTTTTTATTTAAGCCTATTCTTGCCTAAAAATAAAATTTACAAAGATCACTTCATGTCTGAATATAGGTGATGTTGTGTTTAATGCCTGGTGATTTCATCAACAGTCCATGTATTTTTAGTAACAGGAAGGAGTTGCCCTTACTGTAGTTCCGTGATAGCAGGTGTGCCACAGGTGGTATGCAGAGCCCTCTCTATAGGCACGCCAGCCATTGCCCCAGCCCAGCTCCACCGCGCAAGTGTGCACACTTCCTGCCAGCCAGCTGGTCTTCAGGTCTCTGCCACACATGCATGGGGTTGGGGTGCATTAGAGGGCGCGTGCATGCGCTCAGGGCGCTCGCATTGCAATTTGGGGTTTTGTGTGTGTGCACCCCCCCATGCCCCATTTTGGGCCTGGAAAGCCGCCTGCAGCAACCTGGAAGCCAAAATGGGGCAGGGGATGAGGCGTATGCACGTGGGACATGCGCGCACGCATGGAGGATGCTCACATTGCATTTTGGGGGTTTGTGCACATGCTCCTGCATTCGCACACACATGCACTTTGGGCACTTAGCACCAAAAAGGTTAACCATCACTGCTGTAGTTTCTTCAGTCTCAGAAAAACAAATCAAATGAACAACCTGTTTGCTACTCTGATCTCTTTCCAACTATGTGGTTTGTGATCCTTTACCACAGGTGTGTCAAACTTGCGATGACACATTGTCACGTGATGTATCGCAACTTTTTCTCCTTCACTAAACCAGGGGTGGGCGTGACCAACACATGATGCATCCAGGCCGCGAGTTTGATATCCCTGTATAGAGGTAGAGGTATGTTTGTTTGCATTGTATTGTTCTGATACAACTACATTGTTTACAGTTTTATCGACAGCAACAATTGTGGGCTTTATTGTAGCAAAATATCCCAGTAACATCTGTCTGTCTGTCTGTCTATCTATCTATCTATCTTAACTGTTGTTCTGAGCTCCAAGCTTGGCAATTTGGTTGTAACGTTACGTCACCATTTGAGGAGACATTGTGAGTGCACCTTGAATCGTGTTTATCTATCTATCTAATCTATCTCTAATCAGTAACATTTATTTATATTTCATATTTCTTAATCACCGATCTTCCTCACAGAAGGATTCTGGGCAGCGTAGAATATAATCAATAAAATTAAGATTAAAATCATAATTTAAGATTTAAAAGTTTTAAAGTTATAAAAATAGCATAAAATTTCAAATGGTGAAAGACTCCATGATGAGGGAGTTAGCAGTTGTTAATACAGGTGGAGGGAGTCACATTGGGCCAGCCAACCCCACAGTTGTGTTGGCCTTAGTTTCCTCCATACAAGGCACAGAGACAGGTTTTGACCGCTTTGTGGAAGGGCAACAGATTGAGGGCTTTCCTCACCTCTGGGGCCAGAATATTCCATAAAGTGCAGGCAGTGGTAGAGAAGGCTCTCTTCCTAGGCGCCCCACCAGACAGGGTATACAGTATACAGCAGTGTAGGCTGCTGTAATGGGGCAAAGCCAGTTATATAGGTAGCCTGGTACTATGCCATGTAGACTTTATAGCTACACCTAACTAACATCTATAAATTGGACCTGGATGCAAACTGGCACCCTCCGCAGTTCGCAGAGCAAAGGTGTTATATGCGCCCTTTGGGCACCAATATAGCTTGCACAGCTGCTTCTATATACTTTTCAAGGGTAGCCTCATGTAGGGTGCATTGCAATAGTCCAATTGGGCAAAGTTTTTACACATTTTTACATTGTATACATGGAACAATATACTGTATTGATTTAAAACTAAAAAATTCTTTCAATTTTTATTTATTTGTTACATTTATATTCAACCTTTTCTGTAGGAGCTCAAGGCAGCAGGCATAGTACTGTATTAACACTTAAATTGGCAAACATTTATCTGAAAAGATGCAGACAATATATACACTACCTAGAGTCGCTTGTTGTGACTTGTTTATATGGGTGGCCATATAAATAAAACAGACAGACAGATAGATATGGAGCAAATAAATATTAAGATTAAAGAAAAAGAAAATTCTCTTAATATTGTATGACTGTTAGTACCACAGTTCTATCGTTTCTCTAGAGGTCTATGGAATATGATTGCCATCTGCAAGTTCTAGCAGCTGGATTAGGGAAGTTTACAGATGAGTCAAGTCTTAAAACTCTTTCAAAAAGCCATGAGAGTGGCCCACCAATATTGTGTTCAATAAACCTTACTCATAGGTAAAAATGCCTGTAATAAACTCCAGAATGTCAGATTCATAAATTGAGATGAAATAGCTGATGTTTATTTATTTATTTATTTATTGGTTCAATTTATATGCTGCCCTTCTCCGGAGACTCAGGGCGGCTTACAATGCATTAAGCAATAGCCTTCATACTTTTGTATACACCTGCTTAGTAGGGCTTTCAGCCCCCCCTAAGCGGTATTCTTTTTTATACAAAGTCAGCTTATTGCCCCCACAATCCGGGTCCTCATTTTACCTACCTCAAAAGGATGGAAGGCTGAGTCAACCTTGAGCCTGGTGAGATTTGAACTTGCAGTAATTGCAGGCAGCTGGTATTACTTAACAGCACTTTAGTCTGCTGCGCTACCAAGGCTCTTATACATATTTGTATGATTTTATTGTAGAGTAGCATTCATGATTTCATTATCAAAAATATTTCAAGTTAATATGATAAAGCTGAAATGTATACAACTATTCCTGGATTTTAAAAATAGACTGTGACTATACTGTATATAAGTTAATGAATTTTACTAGCAGTGCAGATTAGTGGAGAATACATTTCTAAATCTGTTAAATTAAATTAAATCACTCCAAAAGGATAAATTGATTTGGAAATGCCGATGCTACCTCATTGTTTTATCATTCTCATTTTATCAGATCTTTTAACCTGCTAATTATATTTAGTGTGTATAATCTCTATATCCATATCTATATAGATTGACAGACAGAAAAACTTGAGAAAGGGTTCCCATGGATTGATAGGCTGCTACTGATAATTCAGTTTATGATATTCATAAACTGATATTCATATCATGATATTATGATATTCATATCATATGCATAATTGCATAATTGCACTACTGGATATCTTCCAGCTACTTTGACACTTCAGATATTGCACACTTGGATGGAAGTCTCACTGAACTCTCATAGTCATTCATAAAGTTACTATACAGTGAACATTTGTTTGCATCCTTGAAATGCTAAGCATTTACATTCAAATAATCTATTTTCAAGCTCAGGAACAGTACAAAGTATTCTTAAGTATATTATTTAAAAGAAAAAAACATCAGAGGCACCCTCCAATATAACCTACCTCCTACTGCATATAGAAAAGACTGGTAATGTTCCAGACCAACATGCCTTGTTATCTAAATCTGAGAAATATAAGGGTAGCAAAGTACAGAGCAGCAAAGTAACACTAAGTCATTATCTGCCTAATTATGATCTACTGAATAACTATAACTGGCTGAGTTCTTACAATATTTCCCCAAAGAATAAACACAAATATTGGCAATTATAGTTAGCTTTGACTTGACAGTAAATAAGAATCCAAGTGTAAAATGTATTTTTAAGATCCATTAAAAGATGGTCAAAGGATCATTGCCATATGCTTTTCTCTAAATTAATGATTAAAAGAATATTTTTTCTTAGTTTACATGTCATTGTAACCTGAAATTAGTTAAGACAGATTCAGTTTTCTTTTTCCAAGAACAAATGTTTAATATCTAGTGATTTGCTCTTGGTAGAAAGAAAGATGAAACAAAGCTGTGGCAGTAAACAGATCTCCTGTCAGATCAAAGGGAAAAATCATTTCTGCAGTAGGACTGAGCAGTCCCAAGTACGCTTGATAAATGTTAAGGCACTTAATGATGCTGAGAACAAACCCAAAACCTTATGCATTGGACAATATCATAATTCTGATCCATGGGTTTGTTGATTTATTGTGTCAGCTAATACTGACTTTTGGTGACTGCTTGGGCATCTTTTTTGACAAGATTTTTGGAAGTGGTTTGCCACTGCTTCCTTCTAGGACTGAAAGAGAGCAACTGGCCCAAAGTCAGCCAGCTTGCTTCATGCCTAAGGCAGGATGAGGAGTCACACTCTCCTGCTTTCTAACCTTGTGCCTTACTACTACTACTACTACTACACTAACTAGTATATCAAACTGGCTCTCAATCCATTGATTAGAGCTATTTTATTCTTAAAACAACAGTAAATGTAGACTTTAAATGTGATAATGCTATGACCAGTAGATCTGAAAGCATCTTTTTTGGAGTTTTTTCCCCACTTCACATAGATACTGCTGTCTATATCTCAGGAAAAAGTAAACCTAAATAACAGAAACACAGAGGGTCTTTGTTTAATGACCATTTGTTCAGTGATCATGCAAACTTAGCACAGCACTGAACAAGTGAAAGTTATAACCAGACTTCATACTTAGGATGTTGCAGCTTCCCATAGTCATATCATCGCAATTTGCCACTTTCTGTGCCAGGTTCACATAAGCAATGCCAATGGGGAAGGTGACAGGATGTCCTAAATTGTGGTCATATGAAGTCTTCAATTAACGACCCATGTGGTCTTTGTTTAATCATAACAACTGATACTGCTAGCATTGCCATTGCTAAGTGGCATAGTCACATTGTTTTTCAACTTAATATCCACTTCACTTTAATGAAGGAGTTTTGGTCCAATTAGACTCAATAAGCAAAGATCACTTTGTATATTTAGAAAATAATGGAACATAAACCCAAAATACCATTATTCAAATAAAGATGAAATTCTTTACAGAATTATTTAAGATACCCATAAAACCTTCAGCAATAGCATGTATCCAACTTTTGAGCTGAAAACTAAATAATTCATTCAGTATATACTTTCATAAATTGAAATTTAACTCTAAAAAAGTGTTCTGCTTTTGGAAATGTGTTAATTTATCAGCTATAAATGGTCAGGAAGTTGGTTATAAATTTAATATCAATACTTTTGGGACTGCCTTTTTTTGAGAATGTTTTAATTACCTCAATTAACAATTACCTGTATTTCATTTACTTCTCTTATTGCAAATTCCATATAATTCAAAAAGGCATATTCCTCCAGTTCAGAATGAAAAAAACAAAAATAGATTCATTCATCCATCAAAGATTAGTTGTACCCTATCATTTTAACTTCCAAAAAGATAAGTCTAAATAATTGATAGTTTAAAAAAAGAGATTCCGCCTACTTCTTCTGAGTTCAATGCTTGAAAACTCTGGATTTTAATGTTAATAAGAGTAGAGAAGTGGGCACTTACTTTTTAAAATGATCAGTTAAATGCAGAGTAGTGTTTAAAAATTTGTGAACTTTTGAATTCTCTATATTTCTGCATAAACATAACATAATATGTGATCTGTTCTCCATACAAGTTGTAAATTAGATAAAGAGAACTCAAGTAAAAAACATTGTATTGATTGCTTTATCAAAGAAAACTATTCAAAGTACGTATTCAAAGCACATTGTATTTCTGGGAGGCACTCCAGCTGGTCTAAGTTCTTTCCCTATCTGCCAGTACTTCACCTGCTAACACCCATGCAGTTTGTCTTGAAGTTAATATTTGTTTCTTCGTTAGGCAGAATCTTTCAACATTCATGTTCTTATTAGATTAGCAAATTCATTATCTCAGTGCAGTAGCCATAATAAAGAGAAATCAAGATAAGAATCCTTTTTCTGAACTTGTCATTAGAAAAAATGCAGTGAAGAAGAAAACCTTGTACCTGTCATTTGTCAGCGCAAACCCTTTCCCCAA